ATTATTTGTCTATTTGTTTTCCTGAGAAACTATTTTGTAGATAACAATATGTAAAACAATAACCATTGATAATTTCCTACCATTTTGTCTGTAATTTGCTAAGTCCCCCCTATTATTATGTTATCCTTCTTTTACTCTTTAAAATAAAAAAAAAAAAATATGTGACAAAGCCTGTGTAGTAGTGTGCACCTGATAGCACAGCTATTCAGGAGGCTGAAGTAGGATTTCAAGTTCCAGGCCAACTTGGGCAGCATAGTTAAGACCCTCTCTTAAATAAATGAAAATCCAAAAGCAGAATAATGAGAGGAATTCTTTGATCACCTACCTAGAATTATTCCTGTGATTAACAAATCATATAATCAAGTAGCTTTTTTAATACTTAAATTTTGAAAGTTGCAATATGATTTTCACTTTTTGAGTTGTCTCCTTATTGGAGGTAGAAAACATCTTGGAAATGAAAATGACTCCTGACATTTTCTAGTATTACTTTAAGCACTGAAAATTTTCCCCTCAGTGTGGAACCTAGAATTAAATGCTATACTTTAAATAAGTCAGTAAAAACATCCTTTCTGCCGCATGAAGCATTACTTTGCTAGCCTGGGTGTACTTACTGTATTTGCTGTTTGTACTTTATTCATTGTTCTGACTTCATTTTTCTCTTGGTAGTGCTTGCTTTTACCATTCGAATGCTAGTCTCAAGACTCAACTTAGCTATAATGCATTTAGCTTCTCCTCTTCCTAGAGCTTTCATCCCCCATTCCTTTTCCTGTGCACTATGATTTCCATGACTGCTTTAAAATGTTGCTCCTGTGCTCAGAAAGCCCTTTTTCTCCTTTTAGCTTCTGTTTTCCCTGGCATATAGGGAAAACAGTCAAAATTAATCTTTTCTGTTGTCCCATAGCATTTTGTCTATTCCTTTATTGTATCTTCTGACACATTGCCTGATCATCAGTTTAAATTTCCTGTGAGGTTTGGTTGGGTAGAATCAGTCCTTGTATCACCTGTCATCTTTTGAATGCATTGCATGGTGCCTGGCTCATGTAGCAGTGTGTTCAATAGAAAATTAGTGAATGGACATGTTAGGTGCAATCACATGGTTTTTTCAGGGTGTTTTCATCACACAGGGGCAGGGGAGATTTGTTTCTATAATGGCTCATTTATCTTCGCTTATGTATTTTCAAGGGTGAATAGCCATCAGCTTTATAGTTAGTTTTGTTTACCTGTGGTGATTAAAAAATTGTGGTATTGTAAAATTGTTTTCAGTTCCTTCGATTAGGAATTTAATATATTCTATATTTTGGATAAATGTGGTCTGTGACAGAGCTTAATGGTCTTGGTGGAAAATTAACTCCATATAGATATTACAAATACTTTGTTTTAAAAAAATCCTGTTTTGATTGTGAAAATTAAAATATTAACACCACTTTATACTTTTTTACAACTTTCTGTATATTTTGCACTAAATTTTTAGTTAAAGTGAAAGATTTAGCAACAGATAAAAACTTAAAGGAAAAATAAATATTTCCATCTCAGAAAACTCTTAACACATCAGCAGAAAGTAGTGCAATATAGGAAGAGAGGTTAATCTGCGGACTGATAGTGTATGCTTTAACTTGGTCAAGTCGTGTAGTTTTTTTTCCTTTATTAATAATGTAAAGCTGTTATGATAAACTGTTTCTAAACTTTAAAAGCTTTAGAAGATACTTTAATTTCCATGAAATTAATGGTGATTTGAATGAGATATCCTTCCAATAATAAGGAATAATTTGGTCAGTGGGAATATATTTCCTTAATTTTCATAGGATTACAATGTAAGCATTTTTCTCTTTTATGGTCCATTGTATTATGAGGAAGAAAGGTAATTTGCATTTATATCCAAAAATATTAAGGTAGAATGTCATGTTTGTCATACATACTGTATTTTGGATTGCATTACTGTGAAAAGATACCAAAGGAATATATGCTTTTAAATAATTTCCTATTTTATGGAATCCAGTTAGCCTATTAGATTATTAAATTTGATAATCTACTATGTCTATGATCTACCATGTAGATATAGTTAATTCCATTTCTACAAGTGGTTATATATGAACACAGCTTTGGAAATGTGATAATTTTTATTCATTAGTGTAATAACATTATGATAAAATTTTAATACATTACCTGTTTTTGTTTTTCCTTTGGAGGATTGGATAGCTTTAGTCAAAGCAGCTGCTGCAGCTGCAGCCAAGAATAAAACAGGGAGTAAACCGCGAACCAGTGCTAACAGCAATAAAGATAAAGAGAAAGAGGAGAGAAAATGGTTTAAAGTACCTTCAAAGAAGGAAGAAACCTCAACTCGTATAGCCACACCAGAAGTTGAAAAGAAGGAAGATCTTCCAACATCCAGTGAAACATTTGGTATAAAATACATTCTTATTTTCCTTCCTTTTGACACTGATAAACTCATGGTAGACAATAAGTCAAATCCCTTGGCCACTATACTATCAAACTTATGAGATTATTAGGTTTTTTTACCTACCATAATACAATGGCTAACTTTATTAACATTATACAAATATATCTGAAGATTAGCTATATCAGTACTTCATGTTAGATGCTGTCAATATTCTTGAATAATGAGTTGTAATTTTGATTTGCAAATTCTTGGTAGTAGGCTTTTGCTCAGGTTTTTTGTTTTCTTTGTTTTTTTCTTTAACCTTTTAGGTGCTTTGCACACATATCTGTGTGTTTTATGGAACTAAGCACTAAGTTATTCATTTCTTTCTTTTCTTTCTTAAAGAATAACTGCTTAAAGCTGGGCATAGTAGTATATACCTATACTCCCAGTACTTGTAAGGCTGAGGCAGGACTGAGAGGTCATGGTTGGCCTACGGTATATAATGAGACCCTGTCTCAAAAAATTATTTTTTAAATTAAAAAAAAAATTGTTTATTTCTGATGTGTCAGTCTGGGGGGATTTGTGTTATTTAAGTTTTAATCAAGTGCTAAATGAAAAAACTGTACAAAGCATCTTTTTACTATATTTTGCTTTTTTAAAACTTGTGTTTTAATGTTGGATTCTAGATAAACACTCATGTATTTGTTCTGTTAAAAGTAGGACTTCATGTAGAGAACGTTCCAAAGATGGTCTTTCCACAGTCAGAGAGCACATTATCAAACAAGAGGAAAAATAATCAAGGCAACTCATTTCAGGCAAAGAGAGCTCGACTTAACAAGATTACTGGTAAACTACAATGATTCTTTTTGGGGGGACTAGAGGGTTTCATTTTAGAGTAGTGTTTTTAATAAAGTAAACTGCACTATTTGTTCAGTGTAATGAGTTGATAAGAATTGCGTAGGTCTGAGTTTTTCATAGTAAATGTCTTTCAACACTGTTAGACTTTTCTATTGTAAAATGTGAAAGATAGCACAGATTTTTCTACCTACCTCACAGGGATGTTGTGAGGCTATTGATAATCTCAATCACTACAAAATTGTACAGCTTTTGGATCTCTTGGTGGTAAGAGTAGTTTCTATAAGAAACTATTTTATCAACCTATGGTGACATAATTTCCAGGGTTCTAAATATCTTATACAGCACTCTCACATTTGATCATACTCACTTAAGAATGGAACAGTACATGTTTGGAAAGATGGACATCTGAGTCAAAGTTATTTCCTGCCTGTGACTTGGGATGTAGCAGTGCTAGGATGTTGGAGCACGCTGACAGTCCTAGCCTATTTAGTGTTCACGGAAGACAGGTTTGAAGTGTTGGAATCAGGGCCACTCATCCTAGGCCTTGCACTTCCAGGCCTATTCAGGCTCATTTACCTGGTCTTAAAGAAATTGTGGACATTTTTTTTTTTTTTTTTTTAGTAAATATTAAAGGGGAGTTGAAATATCTTAATGATTCAGTCATACATTCTTTTTTAAGGGCAATACGTTTTTTTACCACCTTTGGTCTAATAAAACTGTATAAACCTTTGTGGCATTCATTTACAATCTTTTGAAGAAGCTTGTTTTTTATTCTCAAATACAGGAATAAACATAAATTACAGGTTTCCATAATTTTTGAAGAGAAGAAACCTACTGCTACATATCTCAAGCTGAGGGTTAAGAACCACTCTTGGATTATATTGTTTATCTAAGTGATCACAATTGGTTTCAGCAAATGAGAATATTCAGTCTATTTCCCTTTGTTCATATTATTTTCATGCTTTCATCTGATAAAGGAAATATTTGCCCCCCAAACAGGAAATATTTCAAATTATTTAACACATTGAACCTTTTCTTTAGAAAGTATTAGTGTTGGAGAGAACCAAAATGTTCTCTAAGGGATTGTTCTGATGGCAGCCTGAGACTTCAGTTTTGCCTTAAAGTGTGGACCCCAGTGCTACATGCAGGACAGAAATGGAATAGTGCTTCTGACTCCCGGATTCAAAGATTGAAACAGCATTGATGGAGGAGTCAAGATCAAGAAAGACGGAGGAGACACACAATGACTTCCAGCTTACCAGCATCATGTTTTTTTCCCTTCCATCTGGATGACATGCCCTGCTTTTAGTTTTAGTCAATACACTCATATGCCTACTCTTACATGCCTTACTGGAAGGTTCTAGTTCAAGCTCAACATTTAAATTAAAAACAAGAACTTGAGTCCCTGGTGATGCATTGTCTTTGTGTGGCCTTGGAAAGACAGTAGTGGGGAAAAAAGAACCATCTTGCCGTGCACAAGTTACAGTCCTGGTTGCTTAGTAATGCCCTGTCGCTTCTGTGGAGGGACTTCCTGTCACATTTCTTTGGGAATTTCAAGCACAATTGTGTGGCAACAGCAGCAATGCATAAGATTTTATGAATGTTAACCCATTATGGTCTTGCCCTTTTATTTACTCAGAAGACTTAAGTGTGTGGTAACCCTTTTAGGAATTTATCTCTCTGTATCTGCTTTGGATTTCATGTTACAACTCAACTGTGTCATGTCAAAGGACAGTAGGTATTATAAGATGGTCTTGGTTGAGACTTGAACTTGCCTCTGTACAATAAATTTCACTTATGGTCCATACATATTGATGAGAACTAATATAAAATAATTCCTTTAGAATGATGGTATATTTTTAAAATTTATCAGTCTCACCTATATGTGTCTTTATGTTGCATTAATATTGAGAGGAATGCAGCTTAGAATCAATAGTATCTTACTCTGGTATATCCCCCATTGCATTTTATTTTATTTTTAAAGGTAGTTCTACCTGAAAATAAGTGAATCTGTCTAGAAGTTATTTTGGTACAGAGTAATGTAAGTTTGGGTTTTTGAGTTTCCAAATAGGTAGACATTGAAAAAATTGCACTTCAAGTATCTTATTTTTCATTATATAATATACTTTATTGATGGTTAAAGCATGTGTTATACATAGAGATTTAAAATAGACAGTTTTGCTGGTCTCGGTGGCTCATGCCTGTACTCCTGGCACTGGGAAGCCGAGGCAGGAGAATCACTGTAAGTTTGAAGCTATTCTGGGCTATGTAGTAAGTTCAAGATGAGCTGAATTGAGACCTTGTCTCAAAGAAACAAAACAAACAAATGAACAAACAAAAAACAGGCATAGTGATGCATTTCTGTAATCCTAGTACTGAGGAGGAAGAGGCAGGAAAATCATCACATTTGAGGCTTGTCTGGGCTACATAGTTAGATTCTGAACCTGAACTATAAAGCTAGACCCTGCCTCAGAAAACCAAAACAAATAAAACAATTTTGTGTAGAAATCAGGAGTGGATACATTTGGTACAAGACTGCAGACAAATTAAGAATAAATTTTAAAATAGACATTGTTGGGTAAAAGAGGAAGCAGTAACATTGAGTGGTCTATTTATAATTGTTCTTAGGAGTTTCTGGACATTCTACCTGTTCAGATGGGTATTTGCAATTTAAAGAATTTTTTTACTGTAGTTTGAAAAGTCTGGGGTTTGAACTGATTAGTAATATGTTATTGATAATAATATCAAAGATACTTGATTATTGGTTCCAGCAAAAAGATAGTGTTTTGAAATGCCTGGGTGAATACTGTGGCTTCTCTTCAGTTCATATAAATCTTTCGCCCTTTGAAATACCTGGGTGAAACATAGAACAACAATTGAACCACTTTGCTCTCTGTGTGTTCTTTATAGCATTTCAGGGAGCTCTAGCCCTTCTTCTATTTATTCCTATTGGCAAGGAGAAAAGGACTGTATTTTATATTTAGATCGAGTTTTGTGAGGTGATGATTTTGTTTGTGGATAGGACTGATGTGTATTTGATACTCTCCTTCTACCTTATATTTAAATACAGTGGTACCTCAGTTTATGAACTTAATTTGTTCCACAATTCTGGAAAAAGATGACTATGTTTGTGTTCATGAAGGAAAAATGACCCCAGTCTTTTCATCTGTTGCAGAATTTGAAAACAAAAACAAAACTTTGCCAAACGCTTGTTTGGGAAACAAATTGTCCTCAAACAAAAGTGTTCGTGAAACAAGGCACCACTGATTTCTTTTTTTTTTTTTTTTTTTTTTTTTTTTTTTTTTTTTTTTTTTGGTTTTTCTCCGGTACCAGGAACCAAACTCACGACCTTGCGCTTGCCAGGCAGGCGCTTTTGCCGCTGAGCTAAATCCCCAGCCCCGGCACCACTGATTTCTTAAAGCTGTATAACATATTCTTTTAGGATAGTCTTCAGGAGGAGTGCCTGTTCATAATATATTTATAATAAGTATTTACAAATAATTAAAATTATTTTAATTTGTTTCTATTTCACTTCAGTTACATCCTCTCATTTTGTATAGATTTTGTGTTTCTTCCTAGAATGTTAGCAGGTTTAGATAACAGATTTTGGATCGCCTTTTAAGGCAGAAGTAAAGTCCTGTCTTCAAGTATTTGTTCCATTATTTGTCTCCCTTTGTTGTTTTTATTTAATAACTTTACAGTTGGCATGCATATAAAGTATTCAAAACTTTACTGATCATGTTTCAGGCTTTTGAATTCTCTAGAGACCAAGTATTATATTTTTGAATAGTTTTTCTTCACTGCTTCAATATTTTCTATGAGCACAACCCAAGACTTTTATTTTTTCTTCCCAAGACATTACATGGGAATGGCTTTTCATTAACTGATTCTGTAATATCCTAATGTAAACTCACAGGTTATAGCTGAATTATTTGGTTTAATACTTGTGGTACTTTTTATTGTATAGTTTGTGATCCATGCTGTCTATTGATGAGCATTAAAATCTTTTTCTACCACCTATATGAAAGGAAACAAAATAGAAGATACAAGTATTTAACATATTGAATAGCAAATACCTGCTGTGTTTGACTAGCCCTTAGAAATAGAACCTCTACTCATTTTCTTGCAAAAGAACTTGGTTCTCTTATTTTTTTCTTTTTATTTCAGTCATTCATAAATTCTCAAGAATACTAGTTATAGAAGAAAAAGGTAGTTAAGGTGATTTTAAATGTTAAGAGAAATAACCCATGCTACATCTTGTATTAGTCATGTAAAATATGTTCAGAATATAAGTAGGGTTGAAATTATTTAAAAACACTTAAGTTGCTTACATGCTTCTTTTTCCACTTAAATCTATACTATATGAAGTGTGAGACAGGAACAAACCATGTAAGTTGTTTTCTCAAACTGGTGCAGGTACACTGTTAATACCAGTCATTGATATACCCACATTGTTGCTTTATACTGGCCTTTTTGTTTCTTATGTTTCAGTCCAAGCTATAGATATTCAACTTTCCAGTAAAGCAATGGTACTTTTGTTTAAACATGTGGCTGTAGTGCTACTTTAAAAATACAATTTTAACGTATGAATTCCCACTGAGTCAAGACGTGACGCTTGTAGATAGCTCAACAGAGTATAGTATTTGAGGATTCCTTTTTTCTCCTATGAAACAAAAGGGCGGGTGGCTGGGGATTTAGCTCAGCGGCAAAGCGCCTGCCTGGCAAGCGCAAGGTCGTGAGTTCGGTTCCCGGTACCGGAGAAAAACCAAAAAACAAAACAAAATGAAACAAAAGGGGGTATAGTTGCTGTGACAGTTTTATTATATTGTCAGTTGTTATCATGTTCCCTTTGAAACAAAGCTGTCATGTGACCAAATTATTTTTGTGATGGCCTTTTATAAGCAAGGTGACCATAAACAAAAACCAATACATGTCATTATACAGTACTTAAAAGCCTGGCTTCATTGAAGGCACTGACAGACTTAGCAAGGAATTTTAACCAAGTAAACATTTTTCAATTGTTAGTTAAAACAGCCTTTTATTTTTGTGAAATAATATATATTCCAAATAAGGTACTGTTTTCTAAAATTGAAAATTAGTGATATGTATTGGAGAAAACTGAAACTTCCAAGTTTTTTCCTGTGTAGATTGAAGCTCTAAGTCAAGATGCGCTAGGAGGGACCCCTGCTTTTTTCCTGTTAACATAAAATGGACCCACTGATGTTTTTGGAACTTTGGTGAGAAGATAAGGTATAACTGAAAACAGAGATAGACACACAAAGCTTAGATCAAAGGATCTAAATGAAATTTAAACCTAAGAGCATTCTTTAGCTAATAATGAAACAAAATTTATTTTTGCCTGTGGTACATTTTATGAGCGTCAGCAATCTAAGTAGTCTTAATATGGACTTTTGAATCACAGAATTTTAAATTTTTACAGAGAGAGAAGAAATCTTAAAAGAGTATTTTTTTAAAAACCCAGGTAACTATATGAACACTGAAGTTCTGATTCAGTGCCTTGACTTATTAAGGGTGTTTGTGTTTTTGAAAAGTGAGCATTTGAAAATTTTTATTATGAATGAAAAAGTATTGAGATTTTCAACTCCTACAAGTTTTGAGAAGTTGAGTAGGGTGATACCAGTATTTTTTCTAATAAGCCATTTCTGTACAATTTTTCTCAAGGTTTGTTGGCATCCAAAGCTGTTGGGGTGGATGGTGCTGAACACAAAGAAGACTACAATGAAACAGCTCCAATGCTGGAGCAGGTATGAAATGGTAGCATTTGATTTTTTTCAAGGTTCCCACTGGAATGATCGTGGAGCTGTAGTATCTGCGTATTTGAAATTGCCCTTTTGATAAGAGATGGGAATAGGAAACTAACTGATGATATATTTTTAACTCTGCCTTCTTCAAGGTATACAGGTACACTACAGACTTGATTAGTGTTTGTTTTCAGTAGACTGGCATTAAAGCCTTTGTTTCCAAATTTGCAAGGCCTGAAGACAGGCATCCCAGGGTATGCACTTCCAGCTGGATCACCTTTAACTAGCTTACAAAAAGACCCTTACACAAATACTTCTCATTTGTGAGTTAAAACAGGGTTTTTTGACATCAAATAAAGCTTCTTTTGTAAGAAGTTTCTTTTATATTGTATAATTGGTGTTAGACTATGTGTTTTATGAATTGATCAATGAGCCATACATTTTTGCTAGGATGTATATTTTAATAACTACAGTAAAAAAGAGAGTTTTAAAACTATTAAGGGTCTGTCTTTAAACCACCTAACAGGAATTTAGAAGTGAAGGTTGCAGTTGCTAGATTTTGCCTTGGCTACCTTCAGATTTCCACAATACCTGTACATAATGAACTGTGCATGCTGTTACATTCTCTAAGGGCTTAACTTAGGCACTGTAAGACTGTAAGAAAACAGTAATAGCCATACCTGGATTTCCGTGGTTCTCCTGTTTTAAAATCTGAGCCTTAATGTAGTTTTAATATATCCTTTTTGTATTATTTTAATTTTCTTTATTAGTAGTCTAATAAAGAAGACTTTAAGATGAGTATCTTTTTGCTCTTCTCTATATGCATTTTAAAGAATAGTCCAAATTTAATTGATATTGTATTGAGTTTTTCAGGTTATTTTAGGCCTGATTTAATAACAGTGCATTGTTTTGGTGCCTCTATTAATGTTGTATTAAATCAGTGATCTTTTAAATTGATTAATATGTCAATAACTACCTTCTGATTTTTTGTTGTCATCAAACGGTTAAGTCCTTGCCGTTATTGTCCGTATATCAACCAAATTTTAAATGACTTTTTTACTGTGTATTACTATATTTATTGTCCCAGATATAACAATATTTTGTACTATCACCACTGTTATGATATTCTCAGAATGCAATATATCAGGGACTTGGGTAATAAAATGTTTCTGGAAAATTCATTACAATGTCAATCTTTCATTACACACAATCTTGTGAGGTGAATGTGGTTATGAAAATTATTATATGTAGAAGGTAGTATAGATAACAGTACCCATTTCAGAGAGAAGTACAGAAATTGACAATTTGAAATTGAGTTAAAAAAGGAAAACAGAATAACTCGGCAATTTATATATACATAATTACAGCCTTTTTTTGAGAGTCCTTGCCAGTTTTGTAACAGAGACCAATAATCATTAATGAAATGTTGTAAATTATTTAGATCTTAAGGAATATTATGATGTTCCTCATTTTTTACTTGTCGTTCAGGTTGACTTCAGTGTGAAAATGTTTTGTAAACAAACTTATTTTTTATGCTACATCTTAGCCTTGCTTCAGAGTAAAAAAGCCGAGTTATAAAGCTCTTAATTACATCTCACTTGGTATCAACATTAGACCTGAAAGAGAAGTATTGATTGTCACTAACTTTTATTGTCCTAATGATTTACAGTAATGTCACTTATGACATAAATTGATAGCAGGCATATAGCCAAAACTTATTGTGCTAATGGATTTATTTTATTTATATTTTTTAAAAGATTCAAACTATGTGGTCTTGAACCTCATTCTCAGATTATTAACTATAGATTATTTAATTGTATTAGGGAAATGTCATGTTATAATTACTTTTGGATAAAACTTGCATTAGATGCATAATAATTCAGTAAGTTTTTTAAAATGTTTAATTTGTCCTTGTTTAGAAGTTAAGCACCTTATCAAGATTAATTTAAGTTTAAAATTTTGTTTTATAACTTTGTAACTTAAGAGTAATGAATGCTGTAGTGATGTCTTTCACACATGTGAAGATGAACAATAAAATTGTTTATTTACAAGTAATGGCTCTAATTACTTTCCTGGCAACATCTTTTATGACAAACTTAGGAATACTTTCCATTTATGGAGTACTTTTTCAAATGATTAGTCCCACTTATACACATATATAACAAGTAAATTAAGAAGTAGAAATGAGAACTGAATGAAAGGGGCACTTGACACCGTGCCTTTTATGTGGTGTGTCCCACTTGCCATCTGTAGAATATTCAGCAGTGCCTTGTTTAATATCAGATATACACCTTTTCCCCACCAGAATTTGAGGGCCTTTTCCTTTAGGGGGAACAGAATTATTTATTTGGTCCCCAGACAGTGATCTTTCATATTCCAGAGAATAGCAGACTGCAGATGGTGATCATTCTTCAAAAAATATATGGAAGTTAAAAGGTTCTCTTGAGAACAAGCATGTTCTTTATAGTGGCCTATCATAGATTTTTCAAAATGTGTATATTTTGCTCTCAGATACATATATCAGAAAGAGATGAGATATAAGAATTCCAGCATGATAGATTGCAAACCTATCCAATGTGGCTATTTTCTGTTGTCTTTAAGCAGTAGACACATGCACCCATAATTTTACATATGTAGGAAATTTTACTGCCAAGTGAATAAAAATATTCTTTATGAAAGAACTGACAGTTCTAATTTTTTTTAAAAGTATCAGTTGGCAGGAAAAAGGTAAAAATTCTCATCTAAGAATGCGACGTATTTTGTTTTAAATCCAATGTTTTTAACTTACAGTTTATCTCTTTGGTTTTTCTTTTTTGTTGCTTGTTTTGTATTGTTTTTTAGTCTTTTAACTCTCTATTGCTGGTAGCTCTGATTTCATGATGCATTATGCTTATGAAACTAGCTTTCAGCACTAAAATGAGTTAAAGATGTTTCGTTAATTTGGTCATTGTTTTCCTGTTGAGATCTTTCTTTAAAGAGAAACTGTCTACTTATGGGAAATGTCCACATTCAGCTTGATAAAGGAAATTATTTTATAAGAAAAGATTCAAAAGTCAAAAGTTTAAATATATTCCTCTAATGCTCAAAAACAATAATGCTGCTTATATATTTAATAATTATTAATGTCTCTGGAAATTTTCTTTCCAAAGGAGATGTATTTTAATTTAATACTTTACATATTTGGTTAATATATTGTTTTATATTCTGAGAATATTTTAAATAATGTATTAAAAATATTAGACTGAAAGTTGACAGTATCCCTTTAAAGACAACCTATTCAACTTTTAGTTAATAATTTGTGGGGTTGTTTTTGGTTTTTCATTTGTAATAGAAATGTTATATGTTGCTTAACAATGTTTTGGATACTAAAGTTGCTTAACAATCAAAATAGAATACAAGAGCAAAAATGAAGAAACCAAAATAAAAATATCAATTTTTTATTATTTATTCAGGCGATTGCACCTAAACCTCAAAGTCAGAAAAAAAATGAAGCTGACATTAGCAGTTCTGCCAACACTCAGAAACCTGCACTGTTATCCTCAACTTTGTCTTCAGGGAAGGCTCGCAGCAAGAAATGCAAACATGAATCTGGAGATTCTTCTGGGTGTATAAAACCCCCTAAATCACCACTTTCCCCAGAATTAATACAAGTCGAGGATTTGACGCTTGTATCTCAGCTTTCTTCTTCAGTGATAAATAAAACTAGTGAGCACAGATTTTTAAAAAATAGTTCCTTAATCCTGTAAGATACATTAAGATAGTTTGATTGTAGTTATATTGTACTTTTATGAAATTGCTTTTTAAAAACTCAAACTTACGTGGCTATGATAGGGCAGACTGGAAACTATCCATGGGCAAAAGTCAGACATTTCTTAACTGATAAATTGTTCAGAGACTACTGCTGCTTGAGAAACCTTAATATTTAATCACACAAATTCCACTGAAGTTGGACTCTCCTCAAGTAATAATCAAAGCTCAATGCGAGGCCTGATTCATTACAAAAAAACAAATAACTCCCCCCACAAAAGAAGAAACAGACACAGAAGAACTCGTTAGATTTTTTAACTTAATTCCTAACAATTCCTATCCGTAGGCATAGTATCCTACTTGTCTGCAAACGTCTGCAATATGTTTTATTTATTCTTATAACGTTTACAGTGCAGACTTGAATTCAGTGTTCTTAATGAGAGAAGAGTGCTTCCTTGATTATATTTTTAAACGTTTCACTATTTCAGTACTACTAATCTTTCAAGAGTTAACTTAGTCTTTTTAAAAATTGCCTTTCACTATGGGCTTGAATATATATGACAAGGCTTACATTGACTCCAAATGCCTCACATTAATGTTTCACATTAGAGACATGAAAAGCAGTTACTTGGAAAATAATGGGGTAAATAACACTTTTTCTTTTGCTCTTTATTCAACAAATAAATTCGTAACGTAATCAGTAAATGAGTATGACACATTTCCTTAGGAATTACTCTTCATTGTGTCTTCCACAGTAAGGATGTTGGTCTTGAAAAAACTTTATCAAAAATATTCTTTTTCATTAATTTGCCATATATACTATTAAACTTTTTCAATTCTTGATCAAATATTTTTGTTTTTATTTTGTTCTTTCAATAAATGCTAAGGAAGTGTGGGAACACAAAGCCTCAATTGTTTTTTCATAAGCTTCATTTCATTATGGCATTTATCATGCCTTACTGTTAGTCACTAAAATGTCACATGACATTCATAAACACTTTCTTTTAGATCTTGGTATTTTAACAGCAGTGTTATAATAGCTGAATTTTATTCTTTCATTTTTTCCAATTATTATCATGTCTTTTTTATTTTTAATGTTGTAAAATTGCTCTTAAATAACCAAAGCATTGACACCTTTAGAACACTTTCTTTCTACATTAACATGAATTTATTAGTTTATATAATCTTCCTACTCTAACAAATTGGTTTATATGCAAGCAGAAAGAAGTCTTAAAGTTAAAAGGTCTGCAAGCATTTGTATTACACTGTAAAAGAAGTTTTTAAAAAATAGTAACATGAAGATAAGAATAGTGTCCTACTCTTTACAATTTTCATTATTTGCCCAGAATAAATACATTAATTTGTTTGTGTTCGCTTTTTTTTAATGAATCAGGCCCAGATATTTTATTTTGTAAAAACCTGTTTGGGAGCAAGAGGATGGGGTTCAGTTACGTGCATTAACTTTACTCTGGCAAGTAAAACCCCAACTACACCCTGTGTAAGAGTGTTGTCACCTACGCCCTTGCCCCTCTTTTTTCCTTAGGGTCTAGATTTGTAATGTAGCAAAAGGGGTATATATATTTTTTCCTTTTGTTTTTTGCTATCAAGAAATTATTTTCCCAAAGGAAAAATGGCAGTTTACACAATAATCTGCAGTTAGAGAATTGCAGAGTTAGAATTAGAGTCTGTCACTTGGGGGAGCTGCTTGAAGTTAATGTTCCATGTAATTTTCTTTTAGTTCTAGTAGGATTCAGATTTTAGAATTTTTGATTAACTCTTTTTGTAAATAGGGCACAGTTTTTGCCTTTTCAACATGCCGTTCCTTGTGGATATCTTATAACAGCGTCAGAGGGCAGAATATGAATAATTTTTCCCATTTATCTTCTTAAATATTATAAGATGATCCTGGTATGTATCTGCTTCGTGAACATTGAAGATCTTTTTCTAGGTCCTCCACAGCCTGTGAATCCCCCTAGACCTTGCAAGCATAGTGAGCGGAGAAGAAGGTCTCAGCGGTTAGCCACCCTACCCATGCCTGATGATTCTGTAGAAAAGGTTTCTTCTCCCTCTTCAGCCACTGATGGGAAAGTATTCTCCATCAGTTCTCAGAATCAGCAAGAGTCTTCTGTACCAGAGGGTAATGTATATTGATTTCCTACAGAACCACACATAAAGGAAGATAAAGAAAAATCTAAGAGATAGACTATTAGAATATTAAGAAATTTCTGCTTTTTCCTTCTTACATATTTTACAATTATAAGCACCTCATGTACAAATATGTAGTGAGTACCTTCTTTGTGCCAGGCACTGTTTAATGTATGCACCACTGTTCCACATTGATATTAACCAGGCCACTTTGTCTGTGTTGATATTCTGCTGCGCTCTTTGTTTTATGTAGTGCCTGATGAGCATTTGCCACTGGAGAAACTGGGATCCTGTCTCCCTCTCGACTTAAGTCGTGGTTCAGAAGTTGCAACATCACTAGCCCCAGATTCCACTTACCATAATGAATGTTCCAAGACAGAAAAGGAAGATACACAAATGCTTACTCATCCTTCCAAAGCAGGCCCTGATGGGAGAGGAGCTCTTGCAGCAGCAGGTAAGAAGGTTCTTTATAAGTACCTAGGCTTGCTGTTACCCGGTATAAACATTTTGATACTTAACTTCGTCAGTTTAGTTAAGAAAGTTTCTTTTCATAAATACCTTTAGGTAATATGTATGGAGCATACATTTTCTGTCATTTTTAAAGTTCTTGTGTGATCATTTTCCTTGGATGTCCAACCTTGTCACTTTAATCTGTTTCCTTCTCCTTGCTTTTTTACATCCTTATTTCTGTGAAATAGAAATCATGATAGCTAAACAGAATTTTAGGGATCCTTCCCTTTAAAGCCAGGAGATATTTAATGGGATCAATTCATAGGTTTAAGGGCTTCAGTCGAATTCCATAATCAAAACACACTTAGTTTAAATTTAATTATATAACTGTATCTGAAATATAATCCCATATTTGGCAGAATCCCCAAGATTATAATTTGTTGTAAATTTATTTGAGGAGCCCCATATGTAAAGTCAACCATATGTAACGCATTTGTTGATGGCGTGTGTGTGTGTGTGTGTGTGTGTGTGTGTGTGTGTGTAATCTGAAAGCATATTTAGGGCTTTTTTTATCAAATTTTTAAATCTAACAAAAGGACAGTTCATATTTCCATGTGGTTGAATTATTTCAAAGTTTTATAGAATTATAACTTCATCTAAAGAGTATATGTAATTAAAATAGTAAATAGTGATTTTAAATGATTTTCTATTAAGTTACTAATTTAGAATTGGGTAGGTGAAAGAAGTCTAAATTGAATCATTCCTGAAATGGAGAAGAACATAAAGTAGTTTATTGATTTGCAGCCAGATATATTGATGGTAACTGTATGTAACAGCATATTCCCTGGGGTCACTACTACTCCTTTCATGAAGCATGAAGTGTATATAGCTTGCTTCTGGTGGTGGAATGTATGGAAATAATATGATCAAGGTAATGTAGAATATACTTGATACTAGTTTACTGCCTTAAATTTCTTACTCCTTTTTTCAAAGTAAAAATATTATTACTGTTACACAGTTATCTATAAATCCAATTTATCTATAATGTTTGAAGTTATTTTATGCATTTTAATGTTCCCTTAATCTTGTTTTTTTAAAAATGCCACATGAAGATTTGTAGGTTTTAAAACATTTCTTACAGTTCTCAATTCTGATTCATCATCCACATACTCTTTATAAGCCTGATCTTTTCTTGGGTAATTATTTTTCTTTTCCCTTTTTTCCAAAGATTTCTGAATTATCATTAACTATTTGAGGTAATTTTCTTGATGAAGGTCTTACAGTTCTTTAACAATCTGGAATCTCTTACTGTAATGAACATATGAAAATGTTAAAGTTATGATATATATTCATTGGAAAAATTATTTTTAGATCTGCATGTAAAAATATATTTCTTTAAATATATATATTCAAATTCTAGTACAAATAAGTGTAAGTAGCTGTAGTTAACCAGTTTATATTTCACGAAGTATCTTAGATTGGCATGGAAATCTTTTACCCAGGTACTATTGTTCCTAGCCAGAGTATGAACTTGGTCTTTTTTTCCCCATAATTTCTAGGATATTTGTAGAGACGTGACTGCCTACTCTGGGGGTGTGGTTCTGCGGGCTCAGGATGGTTACAGTGTACTGAATTGCAAGGGAGTACACAGCAGTCTTCTCTTTTTGAATATAGGCCATAATTATTTGAGAAATAAAAATAGTGAGTCAGTTTCTTGAGAAAGGGAAATGTAGAAAGCAGTTTAGATTTCTCATACAGTAAATCTGTATCTCTGTCTGGAAGAGTGAAGATCCTCTGAGCTTAGTAGAAGTACGCTTGGTGGGAACTTGTATTATTTATAGTAAGCAAATGAATGGTTTTAAATGTTACTCAAAGTTGGTTTTTGAGAGGGTTTTATACAGTATTGAAGAAGGAGGGGTAGAATTCTAATTTATTATGACCCCTTTCAATTTTTTATTTTTCAGGAAAAATGGAATTCAGGTCACATTTTAACTGGGCATTTTTAAAAATTAAAACCTAGAAATCCTGTTTTACTTCCACTTAAATTCTAAATGACTGGCACTCTTAATATTTTTGCCACCTACCCCATCTACACTGTTGTGTGGTATGTTAGGACTTTTGTCTTCTCCCTAGGTTGTCTTACATGTAGAGCATTAAATGCCAGGATTTTTTGTTTCTTCTTTATAATACATACATATATTATATAGTATATGCATGTTTTCTATATGTATGTGTGTGTGTATGTATTTATTTCATTGTTATGCATCTTACGAAAGTAAATTTGGTTAATGTTAAACTTTAAAATTTCTGCCTGGCATGGTGATGCACACCTGTAATCCCAGCACTTGGGAGGCTGAGGCAGGAGGATCACTATAAATTCAGGACCATTCTGGGCTACAAAGTGAGTTCAAGGCTAGCCTGAACTGCCTCGTGAAACCCTGTCTCAAAAAGACCAAAGAAGAATTCTTTAAACTTTCTGCAGATAGCATTCTTCACCATAATTTGCATCAGTGGCATTTCTCTTTCTTTCTTTCTTTCTTTCTTTCTTTCTTTCTTTCTTTCTTTCTTTCTTTCTTTCTTGTCAATTTGAAACTCTTAGGGAGCTTAAATGATGAGAATATTGGTTGTTAATTGGAAGTAGTTTAGCAGACTTAGGTTTTTACTTTTTTGTGTGCAGAATATATTAAGAGGGCTCAGTTTAGCAGTGATGCTGAAAGGTCAGTGAAGTTATCCAAATGATCCAATTAAATTTTTATTTTAGGGGCTGGGGATTTAGCTCAGCGGCAAAAGCGCCTGCCTGGCAAGCGCAAGGTCGTGAGTTCGGTTCCCGGTACCGGAGAAAAACCAAAAAAAAATAAATAAATAAATAAATTTTTATTTTAAAAAATTAAAAAAAACTAACAAAACAGCAGTGAAGACAAAATCAAAACAACACAAAAACGGTACATGACCTCATGCTAGAAATTGGTAATCATAATGACTGATCTGAGAACAACAATATGCAGTATAAGAAACAGTGCTGAATTCAGGCCATCTTGTATGGTGAAGCTCTGCATCATTTCCAGTGTTTCTTTTTTTTTTAATTTTTTTTTTTTACTTGTTACTGTCTTTGATTGTTTGATCAGTCTTACATTCTTATGTCTGGTGGACTGAGCTACTTTGTTGAGGATAACAGTATGTAATGCCGCTACCATTGTTAATTCCTATCAAATAATCCGATTATATATACCTGTTTGTAACAGGTTGCTTGTTCAGTGGATACAGTGAGCTTGCACTAATTGATATACATTGCTCCACTGAGATAGATGTTAATGGGACTAACTAAGGTTAAGAATATTGTTACCTCTGGGGATATAACTCAGCGGCCCAGTGCCTGCCTGGCAAGCATAAGGGCCTGGGTTCAATACCCGGTACCAAAAGCAAACAAACAAAAATAGAATATTGTTTGTTGCTGCCCACATCAGCAGAAAAAATAATTGCTGCATTTGTTAAAAAAAAAATCTTGCCTTTATTTTCATGTTATTGTCAAAATGCTTTATCTGAGGGACCACCCTTGATGTAGGGACACAGCTTCACAAAATCTTAGTTCATTTTCTTTAGTATCTGGGCATGTAAAGTAGATTGAGTCTTTGAAAAAGATCTTTTCCTGTCTGCCAGGGTCCTTAGACTCATAATTACCCGTCGTTCCTGGACAAAACTCCATTGGGTTCTAGGGAACCTAATCTGCCCAGGATATAGCGTCTGTTCCCTAGAAACAAAATCTAGAAGGGATACAAAGCTAATACCTGAAATATAAGTACACATAGAGTAGCTATTTTAATATAAGGGGTAAGGCCCTTAAGAGGTACAGAATGCTGCTGGGTTCAGAGGAAGACAAGACTACCCTGAAGAGGCCTCAGGCAGAGAAAGAGTTGGCTTTGTAGGTGGTCTTGGGTGGACTGGAACACTGAAGGACCAAGCACCCACCTGCTTTCTTTGCACTTACTTTCAACAAAATTAAACAGATCTATCTGCTTGCAGTTCAGCTTTTCATCTGTATGAAGAGATTGTAGTTGATGATATCAGTGATCCCTTTGGTGCTAAAATTTTGTCTGTTAATTAGATCATTAATCATTTAGTGAAGTCAGTCTCTTCCAAAGAAAAGATTATGGTACGGTAGGATTACTTTTAATTTATAACTTATAAGTATTCTTAGAAGTGATAGAATATTCTTAGTAAACCCTGTTAAGACAAAATTGAGATTTAATTATAAGAATGTAATTTTAAACCTATTTGGTTAGTCTGCTGTCTTCATTTTCTCATTTTTGAGCAAATTAATACACACATATCGCGGAATACTTACTATTGTTTTATTGCAGAATATTTTGGTTAATTTGGATATGAATAATAAACACTGTACCTTTATAATGTCAGGATGCTCATTGGCGGCTAGTAAGTTTAGGTGAATTTAATTTCATTTTAGATGAAATTCTTTAAGCTTGTTTTACTGTAATTCAGTCTTATTTTGAATTAGTTTTTTAATGAAATATAAATTTATCATACTTAAAATAATTATACTGTTCTTAGTGAATCCTCTGTAGATAGTCTATGAATGATAGTATTTGATTGGCTAATACCATATTTTTGTCCCCAAGGAAAACCAGAGATAGGTCATTGGATTTATCTGAGTTAGGATGACAAAAAAGCATGACAGAAACTCCACAGAGTAATCTGACTGGTTGGTTTTAAAGTAGTCTTTAATCATCCCCCAACATTTTAAGTCAGCAGTGCATTTACTATTTAAAAACCTTTTTGTCTCAAATTGTCCCTTAGTTTATTTTGTGGGATTGCTAAAAATAAGATTACAGTTGGAAACTCTAACCTTCCTCTACCTCCACAGCGAATGTTCATGGCTTCTCCGGAGCCTGCTGTTTCCATGGAGAGTCTCAGGGATTGCTTCCTTTTTAGCCAGAAGAATCTGAGATGCTTATCTCAGAATACTGGAAAAGGCTTGAGAAGTCACTTTACATTACTGGTTTTGAAATTGGGTGCCAGCAAGTGTGATTCAGAGATACTTTTCTCATTTTAATGAGTGTAGCTCATTTGTTTTTTGCATTTGTTTTTTTCATTAGGTTGTCACTTAATAGTTTATTTGGGGCCAGGGATATATCACAGCAGCATAAGTACCTGCCTGAGAAGCACAAGGTCCTGAGTTCAATTCCTGATAGCAAAAATAAAAGTTTATTTGAAGAAAATGTTCTTTTGATAAAATTAAGTCTAAAAATCACTGTTCTATAATCTAGTGCTTAAGTTTTCAAATTCTGGAACAGAGTGAAGTAAGAGCAATCAAATGAATTTCTTGTAAAACAGAACATGTTCTTTTGTTGAAGTCTAGACTAGATCCATTTTCTTTTTCTGTTTGTGTGGAGGTAGTTTATAAAGTTCTGCCTCTACTGTAGACCTGAGTATTTATTCTAATATCCTGTAATGTGTAAAACATTGACAGCCTTTTGTCGGTTTCCCAATTTTGCTTTTGCACCTTCACCACTTATAAAATCTTAAGGTTTGGGAACCCCAGGAATATGTGGCAGCTGGCTCTGGAACTGGCTGTCCTGAAAGCGCTCGTGACTGACGGTGTGTGTCCTCTTGTGCTATCTCCTGTATTAAGTGCTACTCCATTGCCATGCAGTTGTCTTCCACATTTCTGAGGAGTAGGTGACACATTCCAGTCAAGGGAAGCAATGGAGGAAGGCAGTTCCTTTAATCTGACCCTCTCCCAATCTCTGGGTTTCCAAGCATCACTGCTCTAGCTTTTCCCTGCAGATCCAAGCTCTGGAGGAGTGTGGAGGCAATAAACGTTGTCAAGTGCTACTTCTAGATCCACCCCTGTTCTGACTGGGTATCCGCAAGCACATTGTCATCATTTGAATTATAAGTGCTGTCTAGTTTTCAAGAAAATTGCATAATTTGTAGAGTTCCCATAGTACAAAATTAGTAGACAGAAGAACGTGATGCATGCATTCTCAGTCTTGAAATAAGGAAATGTAATTGTATTTCCTCTTGCTCCAGTATCCTTTTTACTTTTTCTATCATCATAGGTGAAATGATCAAATTTCTTGTTCATCTGAAACTTATTTAGTAGAGCCTTATTGGCATTTGAGTGATATTTTTATATTTATATATTTAAATTACATATGTAAGGTATTTGAAGATGAAGTGCTAGCATTTTTATACTATTATAGAATGATTTTAAAAAGCAAAAAAGTAGTAAATGGTGATGATTGTAACTAAAATTTAATAAAATATATTGTAGTATGTTTTTTAAGTTTACCCTAGCCACAAATAAGTTATTAATATCAGGACTGAGAATCATGGGTAAATATATCTTTGTCACCTCGTTATTCTGTTAATGAGACACAATATTGACTTAAACTGTGTTTGTACTACAGATAATACAACCTAAGTGTCATTAAAATAATTTTTGTGTATAAATATGCCCTTGGATTTTACATTTACAGAGAAACTAAAACGTGCAGAATGTTGGGCTGTCTTTGTTGCCTAATAACATTTCATGATGGACTTCAAAGGTGTGAAAGTTTATTTTAGGCAGCAAAAGGTCAGACTTTAGTTTAAGCAGTTGTATACAAAGTGTTAAAAATCAGTCTACTGTCATACGAACTCTAACATTTCTTTTGGGTGCCCTGAGCTGCATTTGTGTCAGAACTGCTGCAGAAGCACCAGTGATCCTTGGGCACATCACTTACTTGGGTGTGGGCATCTCCTGAGCAGGGCATAGGTTGTAGCACTGCAGGAGACCTTTGCTCCTAGCTTAGTGTTAGGGTTAGGATGGGACATCTTCATTCTTGTTTATTGTCAGATTTGTAGTTATGCCATTTCTGGAAGTGGTGTAGTCTCAAGTTGTTAGCCCACCACAAAAGCAAAGTGAAAAAAAAGTACTCATTTACCATACATGAGTCTAAAAATTTCACATATTTCTGCTTTTATATTCTTAATAGCAACATATCGTCAACATGTATAATCTTATTTGACAGATAAGAAAACTGAGGTGCAGAGTCATTAAATGACATACTCAAAGTGGGTTTTGAACGTTGATAGTCTGAAGGAGCAAAACCAGCCCTAATTTATCAGTTTTTTGAAGTAAGAAATCCCATTTTTTGTTACTAGTTCAGGCAGTAATATAATGTAGATCTTTAATGGGGAGAAAGAGGATCATACAGAATTTTATAAACTGTTGTAATTGAAAACTTTGTCCCATATTTATAATCTTTCCTAATGAAATATATTTCTTTTCCCCTTAACCCACAGGAATTTCGAAAACAGAAAAAAAAGTGAAATTGGAAGAAAAAAGCTCAACTGCCTTTGGTATGAACAGAAAGTAATCTTTAAGCAAAAGACTAGAAAGCCTGATATAGAGGGAGGACAGAGTCTGTCTCTTCTTTTGCCCTCTTGCGCTGTTTTATATGTGATCATCTGCTTCATTGCTTATCAGTGTTAGCGGCAGACAGACTGCATCTTCAGTGTACATCTTGTTGTTCTGTGTGTATTTTTTGTCACAGTTGTGTCTGGCTTCAAAAAATTTCTGGGTTTCTGAACATTCCTACTTAAAATTATGACTCTTTCAAATAAGCTTCCACCTAATATTGTTGATACTTAGAAGATGGATGATACATTAAAATCATTTTTTTCTCAGTATACCTTATAAAATGGTTATTGAGTTTTTGCCACCTTTTCTGTTTTTTGTGCTATAAAATTAAGTCATGAAATAATTAAGTCATGAAATATTTAAAGATACTCTGTAAATATTTTTTAGCTTAGCTAATCAGAACTTGTGTGTATCTCAAAATTGATTAATTATTGCTGACCAATTGTAGGCTAAACCATACTGGTTGAAACAGTAGCACTAGAATATATGTGATGATTTAACTTAAAGAATGTTCTAGGATACGTGTTATTTTCTTTAAAGTACATATGGTTAGAGAAAAGAATGCTTTAAAATTTTAGGGAAATAAGTTTGAAATACAGTTTTTTCTTTCATAGTCCTACTCTTGATTCTTATATACACAAGGGAAGTGTCAAAAGACTGAAGGTAGTTACTTATGGATTGCCTTGATTTTTTTAAAAAATTTTTTTTACAAAGGAAAAAGGTCCACTTTTAAAAATCTTATTATATATTTTCTTCATATGTCATATATGGAAATGCTGAGTCTCCTCAGGGAGGTCTTTTTTTTTAAATTATGGGGTTTAACTATGTGCCACATTAGAAATTGAGTATATTACTCATTTAAAGGTTTTAACTACTGTCTGTGTTAACTTTAAGGTGTCAGGAGTTGGGATTTCTCAACACTGCTAATGAAGATCCCCTCTTATAGTCCAATAAGCTAAACAGGACTTCCAGACTCATGAGCAGTTTAATTGACTCCATCCACTCTGGGCAGGTGACTGTGATAGCTGATGAAAATATAAATGCTGCCTTTTAGGTTAACCACAAAGGAACAACTCAGGATCCCTCAGGATTACTGAAGTATTTGCTTTTATCATTTAGGTAGGAGAAAAGAAAAGGATAAGGAAAGGAAAGAGAAAAGAGATAAAGATCACTATAAACCAAAACAGAAGAAGAAGAAGAAAAAGAAAAAGAAATCTAAGCAACACGGTAAGTATGCAGTTAATGGGTTGTTTCCATTTATTCTCTTTTTTTTTTTCTTTTCTTTTCGGTACTAGGAGTTGAACTCACGACCTTGCGCCTGCAGGGCAGGCGCTGTGCCACTGAGCTAAATCCCCAGCTCCCCATTTATTCTCTTTCACCTCTCCTCTTTTCTTTCTCCAAAATGCAGATTCCTGTGTTGTAATTGAGACTGGTAGCTTTGTTTTTGTCTTGTATTTTCAAAAACATAAAACTGTGTTTTACAGTGGTATATTAATTAATTGTGGCAACTAATAGAAACTTTTATCTCAATTATGGTGACCTGGATGCACTGAGCAAGCATCCTTCAACATAATAAAGTAATCTGTAATCATAGAGACCCTTAAATTAACTTTCCAGAATTGAGGGAGAAATAAAGATATTTTCAGAAAAATTTGAGAAACCAAAAGAATTTGCTAACAACTGTCCCTCTCTAAAGGAAGCCCTAAAGGATGTACTTGGAGGAGGAAGGAAAATGGTGATGAAGGGAAGGCTGGAGATGTGGATCAATCTAAACATTGACCATATCAAGCAATTTTGATGGAAAAAAAGAAAAATACTAGAGAATAAAAAGAAGTAATAATGGATCATATATTTGGAGATGTATGCTAATACTTCATTGTTTTTAAGCTCCTTATATTGTTTTGGGGAAATGAAGGAGTTTGTTGCTTAGAGGCTCTGTTAAGTTAAATATGCATGTTAAAATATCTAACAAATACTGTAGAATAGAAACATAGGATATAATTTTCAAAGCAGAAATGAACTCACACAGAAAGATTGTGGTAAAAAATAACTTGCAGTAAATTACACGAAAGAAAGTTGGATTTCTGAGCTACCCTGGGTCAGAGGACAGCTTTTTAGCACTCTTTCCTGCAGAGAGCGCACCATGAAGGAATCCTGAATGCACACAGGCCTGTCGTACTGTCACCTGAGGGGGGAAGACAGAGTCTAGTGTATGGGAAGGGATTTCTGATTTCTGAGAGTTATTTTGTGTTTTGCTTTCTATTAAAATGTATTTAGTTTAAAAAAGGAATTAAGTACCTAATAAATGTGAGCAAAATTTAATGAACTAAAAAATTCCTATGAAATAATTTCAAATGTCAAATTTAGTTATAAGGAAAAACAATAAAGTGAACTGGAAAGATCAAGAAGATAAAATGCATAGATAAACAATATTAGGAATAGAGAGAGCATAACTGTGCAGCAGACAATGAAAAGAAGATGATGTTGCAAACTTATACCACTACTTGAAAGGTTGGGTGAAAATATGGACAGTTACCACAAATAAGCTGATCAGGGAGATAAAAACCTAAGTAGTCTCTGAATCTTTTTTTTTTTTTTTTTGGAGACAGGGTTTTGCTATGCAGTTCAGGCTCACCTCAAACTCTTAGCAATCCTCTTGCCTCAGCCTCCTCAGTGCTGGGATTACGGACATGTGACACCCCCATGCCCGGCTTTCTCTGAATCTTAAAGAACATTTAATTAGTATTTAAATCTTCAATTAGTATTACAATCTTCCAACAAAGGATCTCAGGTTCAGAAAATTTTTTGCTAATCTTTAACAGACATTAAAAAACACATTGCTCACAATTTACATAAATTATTGCAGAATTTAGAAAAGGAGAAAATATTCCCACAGTGGGATGAATAGGGTCTCCCCAAAATATATGCCTAGGTCCTAACGCATGATACCTGAATGTGATCCCTATAAAGAATAGGGTCTTTGCCGTGTGACTAAGTGAAGGGTCTCAGAATGAGACATCAGAATTCAGGGCTGCCCAGGTGAGGTCTTGAGGCTCACAGGGAAGGCCATAGGAAGATTGTGGCAGAGATTAGAGTGGTGGAACCCTCAGCTGTGGAGCCAGAGCCACCAGAAGCTGCAAGGAGTCAGGAAGAGTTTGCCCTTAGATCCTTCCAGGGAGCATGGCCAGTGCCTAATTCTGGCCTTAGGAACTTTGAGAGGAAATATTTTTTTTCTTTTGGTATTGGGGATTGAACCTAGGGCTGTAACACTGAGGTGTATCCACCCCTTTTTATTTTTTGAGACAGGATCTTGTTAAGTTGCCCATGTGGGCTTCAAATTTGAGGTCTTTCTGCCTCAGCCTCCCACAATTAAGAGATTACAGGTGTTCAACACTGTATATGGCAGTTTCTGATGTTTGAGCCCTAAATTTATAGTACTTTCTTGTGGTTCCCCTAGGGACCTAACACAAGGCCACATTTATTTTAGATGACTTAAATTTATATCAAAATCAGAGACTACAATGAGAAAGGATGACCACAGATTCTCAGGGCATAAATGCAAAAACTATAAATGAAAGTTACCAATGTAGCATAAATGTACCAATGGATGAAAGGGATATAACCATATAGAATATGAATGCAGAGTATCTAAATGTCAGAAAATTAATGAAATTACCACAGTAAAAGAAAAATGAACGAATATTCCTATCTCTATACATGCAGAAAATCCATTTTGTACATCCATATGCACTTAGATTTTTACAGATAGTTTATAAAACATTTAATTTTATACATCCATATGCACTTAGATTTTTAAAGATAGTCGTTTATAAAATATTTAGAAACATTAAAGAAGGCCTCCATAAAAGGGAGAGATTCCATTTAATAGTTTAGAAGATTCAGAATTGAAACATATCTGTTCATTTTAAATAAATCTATGGCTTCAATGTGGATTCTGAAGCAATATGAAAGAAAAATCCAGAAATAACACAGCCATTCTTGAAGAAGAATAAGAAGACTCACTATTCAGCTGTGGTTATGAGGGCACACATTTATTTTAGAGGCGCAAATAATGATCAAGGACAGAATAGGTAACTCAAAAGCAGTTCTGTGCATAATTGCACAGAACTTGTATTGCAGATCAGTGGTTTAAAGATAACATTTTTCAGTAAGTGATGTTAGAACAACTTATGTGTATGGGGAAGAAAAATCAATTGAACCTCTATCTTAAATTTTACACAAAAATTTAATTTCACTTTTGTCAAAGACAATGAGGGAAAACTATAAATCATTGAAAGACAGCTTTGGGCAAGGATCATTGGGCAGGGAATGATTTTCAACAAAAAAGTGCTAATCTAAAGGGGAAAGTTGAAAGTACAGTTAGACCGGTAGTAAGAACATTGGTCATGAAAAATCATTATAGAAGGACTTCCAAAGCCCAAAACCTTACTGCAACACCCTGCCTGACAGAAGGTTAATATTTAGACTATTTCAAACTCTTATAAATCAAAAAGAAAACAGATATAACACAGTATGAAAGAAGCAGAAACCTTTGTGTACAGTAAGGTGAATTATAGTAAGATGCTCAGTCTTGTGAGAGGCTTGGTAGCTGTAGTGTTTCAAACCTGGCGATATATGTTACACATTTGCCATATCAGCAAAAATTACAAAGTAAATAGCATGAGGTGTTGCTAAGGAAATGGAAACAACCCCACAACTCCTACTGAAAGTATCTTGCTTGTACCTAAAAAATTCTGAAGAAACTCACATGGTATATGAGGAGCAAATCACTGGGTTCTCCTAGCAGTGCTGGAAGCTGCCTCATTTTCCCAGAGGAGTCACCTGTTTCTTCATTTAGAGGTAAATGAATGAATTACATCTACAGGAATCCCCAGGATGGAGTGTTATGCTAAAGTCTACTTACTGAAGAGAACGTAGTGTGATCTATTTAAGTAAAGATTAAAAAATTACAGTATCAAGCAATATATCTCTTTAGGGATTCAGTTGTATGTGTGAAAAGCATGAAAAAACAGCAACATGAAAAATTCAGGATAGTGTTACCTCTGAGGTGGAGAAGGGGAGTTGTTATCAGAAGTGACGAGGGGATTTCAAAATGATAATATCCTTCTAAACTTCATGTTCAATACCTGTGTATTCTGTGTTATTGACATTCTTTATGTCGTACTCATTTTTAGTATATTCATCAAATATTTCATAAAGCCAGTTTAAAGAAATATTAACCCAATGAGGCAGTGTCATAGTGGATAATTGCAGTTGGGAAATACTTTAGATTTCAGCTCTCTTCATGGTCCAAAAATGACATTTAATTTTTCCAGACTGTGAACTTCCTACATTTTGTAACTCTAAAGCTCCCAGAGTACACTTGAACATACAAGATCAAAAAAAGGTTGACAATCTTGAAACCACACTCCAGAAAGCTGACCATTTCCAGGCCACGCTGTGCCTACCTTACTCCTCACTTCTTCCTTCTCAGTCTTCCCTCAGCTCTGTCCCCTTCATGTGCAATTTTTAGAATCCAAACTACAAGTGACTTAAAGTTTAGAAACACAGGAGTTGCATAGACAAAAACCATTAATCATAAGCTCTTATTACTGAATACCTTGCTGTGAGTGGTATGTCATAGCTTCAAACTGCAGATAAAATTGCCAGATGAACTCCCAGCTAGCCAGAGCCTTCCTGCAGGAGGAGGGGGATGAATCTGGCCAGCGTGTTATGAAGACCCTGAGTTATTAATGCAGTGTGGGAATGGCCCGCTGTTTGTGGTGTCTTATGCTGAGGGATGGAGGCTTATTGCAGTAGTTAGTACTAGATACAGAATCTTACATGCTGAAATACCCAGAATGTGGAGGAAAAGATGACAATGAAGGACTGACTGAAAAAAAGATCAGTAAGAAAAGGGCTACATTTGATAGCAAATGTGGCATCAAGAGCACTTAGGAGAGCACAGCAGGTGATAATTCAAAAGAAAGAATGACGACTGGAAATTCAAGAGAGAAAACTTGCACTTTAGTGAGTAGACCTTAACTGCAATAGTCTTTTACAAAAAGTCTTTTTTAAAATAAAAGTAATGCTTTAATTATATATACATATATCTTCTTTTCTAATGAAAAAGAAATGAACCTTACACCTTTGCTTGTATTTTAAAATCATGCCTATAAAGTGAACATTCTAACTTCATCCAGGGAGTCCTGGTAAATACCGAAGAT